AACAGATATATATTTGAGAAATTGATAATCTTGTAATTAAAGGTTTCTGCATGCATGTATTTTCCAGCTATTTTGTATTTTAGGGATGTTGCCGAATATGCCATGAAGATCTGATCTGATCTGCTGTTCCCCTGTCTGTGTAAGGGGACAAGAACGTTTGTCCATCAGGAGTGCTTAAAGACTTGGATTCAGGTTTCCCAAAGCACAGAATGCGAGTTCTCCCTCAAGAAATACCATGCAAATGTCAAGTTAAAACCATTTAAACAGGTACAACACAAATTGTAAAGAAACATTTTTGATAATATTTTATTCTCGACAAGCCTGCCTCCCCCACCCCACCCCCATTCTTCCGCAGTATGGCCTAAGCTATCTACTATATTTTTTAAATTACCCAGTTGTGCCCACTTGTGCACTTCAATTAAACATAGGAAAATTGACATGGCAGACCTGAGGCCCGTAAACAGCAGGGTCAGGCAGGGGGGAGCTGTGCACCAGGGGCAATTGCCCCTTAGAGAAAACAATATTTACAATATTTAGAATGACAATTATTCGTTGGGTATTTGGTTAAAAACCCAGTGCACACAACCCCGGGCACAGCAGAGGGCTTTATTTCAAATTAGGTCCATAAGCTTGTATTATGCATAACAACATACCTAACAGATATATATTTGAGAAATTGATAATCTTGTAATTAAAGGTTTCTGCATGCATGTATTTTCCAGCTATTTTGTATTTTAGGGATGTTGCCGAATATGCCATGAAGATCTGATCTGATCTGCTGTTCCCCTGTCTGTGTAAGGGGACAAGAACGTTTGTGCATCAGGAGTGCTTAAAGACTTGGATTCAGGTTTCCCAAAGCACAGAATGCGAGGTCTCCCTCACCAAATACAATGCAAGTGTCAAATTAAAACCATTTAAACAGGTACAACATAAATTCTAAAGAAATATTTTTGATAATATTTTATTCTCAAGAAGCCTGCCTCCTCCACCCCACCCCCTTCTTTCGCAGTACGGCCTAAACTATCTCGTATATTTTTATCCAGTTGTGCCCACTTGTGCACTTCAATTAAACATAGGAAAATTAACATGGCAGACTCATGCCCATACACCGTGGGGTGAGGCAGGGGGGAGCTGTGCGGGGGTGGCAACTGCCCCTTAGAGAAAACAATATTTACAATTTTTAGAATGGCAATTATTCTTTCGGTCTTTGGGCAAAAACCCTGCGCACAATATAGGGGGATTTATTTCAAATTAGGTCCATAAGCTTATATTACGGATAACAACATACCTAACAGATATATGTTTGGGAAATTGATAATCTTGTAATTAAAGGTTTCTGCATGCATGTATTTTCTAGCTATTTTGTATTTTAGGGATGTTGCCGAATATGCCATGAAAGTTAGAATCAAATGAAACTGATCTGCTGTTCCCCTGTCTGTGTAAGGGGACAAGAACGTTTGTGCATCAGGAGTGCTTAAAGACTTGGATTCAGGTTTCCCAAAGCACAGAATGTGAGGTCTGCCTCACAAAATATGATGCAAATGGCAAAACAAAAGCATTTAAACAGGTACAACATAAATTGTAAACAAACATTTCCAATAATATTTTATTCTCAAGAAGCCTGCCTCCCCAACCCACTTCTTCCGCAGTATGGCCTAAGCTATCTAGTATATTTTTTAAATTACCCAGTTGTGCCCACTTGTGCACTTCAATTAAACATAGGAAAATTGACATGGCGGACCTGAGGCCCGTACACAGCGGGGTCAGGCAGGGGGGAGCTGTGCACCAGGGGCAACTGCCCCTTAGAGAAAACAATATTTACGATATTTAGAATGACAATTATTATTTGGGTATTTGGGTAAACCCCTGCGCACCACCCCGGGCACAGCAGAAGGCTTTATTTCAAATTATGTCCATAAGCTTATGTTATGCATAACAACATACCTAACAGATATATGTTTGGGAAATTGATAATCTTGTAATTATTTTCTGCATGCATGTATTTTCTAGCTATTTTGTATTTTAGGGATGTTGCCAAATATGCCATGAAGACTTAGAATCAAACGAAATTGATCTACTGTTACCCTGTCTGTGTAAGGTGACAAGAACGTTTGTGCATCAGGAGTGCTTAAAGACTTGGATTCAGGTTTCCCAAAGCACAGAATGTGAGGTCTGCCTCACAAAATATGATGCAAATGTCAAAACAAAAGCATTTAAACAGGTACAACATAAATTGTAAACGAACATTTTTTATGATATTCTTTTCTCGAGGAGCCTGCCTCCCCACCCCCATTCTTTCGCAGCATAGCCTAAACTATCTCGTATATTTTTAAAATTACCCAGTTGTGCACTTCAGAGACAGGAAAATTAACATAGTGGACTCAGGCTCGTACACCGCGGGGTGAGGCAGGGGGCAACTGCGCCTTAGAGAAAACAATATTTACGATATTTACAATGACAATTATTCTTTGGGTATTTGGGTAAACCCCTGCGCACCACCCCGGGCACAGCAGAGGGCTTTATTTCAAATTAGGTCCATAAGCTTATATCATGCATAACAACATACCTAACATATATATGTTTGGGAAATTGATAATCTTGTAATTAAAGGTTTCTGCATGCATGTATTTTCTAGCTATTTTGTATTTTTAGGGATGTTGCCGAATATACCATGAAGAGTTAGAATGAAACGAAATTGATCTGCTGTTCCCTGTCTGTGTAAGGGGACAAGAACGTTTGTGCATCAGGGGTGCTTAAAGACTTGGATTCAGTTTTCCCAAAGCACAGAATGCGAGGTCTCCCTCACCAAATACAATGCGAATGTCAAATTAAAACCATTTATACAGGTACAACATAAATTCTAAAGAAAGATTTTTGATATTTTATTCTGAAGAAGCCTGACTCCCCACCCACTTCTTTCGCAGTAAGGCCTAAACTATCTCGTATTTTTTTTAAATTACCCAGTTGTGCCCACTTGTGCACTTCAATTAAACATAGGAAAATTAATATGGCGAACTCAGGCCTGTACACATTGGGGTGAGGCAGGGGGGAGCTGTGCAGGGGGGGGGGGGCAAGTGCCCCTTAGAGAAAACAATATTTACAATTTTTAGAATGGCAATTATTCTTTCGGTCTTTGGGTAAAAACCCTGCGCACACTATAGGGATTTATTTCAAAAAAGGTCCATCAGCTTATATTATGGATAAGAACATACCTAACATATATATGTTTGGGAAATTGATAATCTTGTAATTAAAGTTTTCTGCAGGCATGTATTTTGCAGCTATTTTGTATTTTTAGGGATGTTGCCGAATATACCATGAAGAGTTAGAATGAAACGAAATTGATCTGCTGTTCCCTGTCTGTGTAAGGGGACAAGAACGTTTGTGCATCAGGAGTGCTTAAAGACTTGGATTCAGGTTTCCCAAAGCACAGAATGTGAGGTCTGCCTCACAAAATATGATGCAAATGTCAAAACAAAAGCATTTAAACAGGTACAACATAAATTGTAAACAAACATTTTTGATAATATTTTATTCTTGAGAAGCCTGCCTCCCCACCCACTTCTTTCGCAGCATAGCCTAAACTATCTTGTATATTTTTAAAATTACCCAGTTGTGCACTTCAGAGATAGGAAAATTAACATAGTGGACTAAGGCTCGTACACCGCGGGGTGAGGCAGGGGGGCAACTGCGCATTAGAGAAGACAATATTTACGATTTTTACAATGACAATTATTCTTTGGGTATTTGGGTAAAAACCCCTGCGCACAGCCCCGGGCTTTATTTCAAATTAGGTCCATCAGCTTATATTATGCATAACAACATACCTAACATATGTATGTTTGGGAAATTGATAATCTTGTAATTAAAGGTTTCTGCATGCATGTATTTTCTAGCTATTTTGTATTTTTAGGGATGTTGCCGAATATACCATGAAGAGTTAGAATGAAACGAAATTGATCTGCTGTTCCCTGTCTGTGTAAGGGGACAAGAACGTTTGTGCATCAGGAGTGCTTAAAGACTTGGATTCAGGTTTCCCAAAGCACAGAATGTGAGGTCTGCCTCACAAAATATGATGCAAATGTCAAAACAAAAGCATTTAAACAGGTACAACATAAATTGTAAACAAACATTTTTGATAATATTTTATTCTTGAGAAGCCTGCCTCCCCACCCACTTCTTTCGCAGCATAGCCTAAACTATCTTGTATATTTTTAAAATTACCCAGTTGTGCACTTCAGAGATAGGAAAATTAACATAGTGGACTAAGGCTCGTACACCGCGGGGTGAGGCAGGGGGGCAACTGCGCATTAGAGAAGACAATATTTACGATTTTTACAATGACAATTATTCTTTGGGTATTTGGGTAAAAACCCCTGCGCACAGCCCCGGGCTTTATTTCAAATTAGGTCCATCAGCTTATATTATGCATAACAACATACCTAACATATGTATGTTTGGGAAATTGATAATCTTGTAATTAAAGGTTTCTGCATGCATGTATTTTCTAGCTATTTTGTATTTTTAGGGATGTTGCCGAATATACCATGAAGAGTTAGAATCAAACGAAATTGATGTGCTGTTCCCTGTCTGTGTAAGGGGACAAGGACGTTTGTGCATCAGGAGTGCTTAAAGATTTGGATTCAGGTTTCCCAAAGCACAGAATGCGAGGTCTCCCTCACCAAATACAACTTATCATCTGTTTGTCTACTGAATGCAACAACAGCCTTTCAATTAAAAAAGACTAAGTCCGTGTAAGTCTAATTAGAATACCGTACGTATTGCTAGACCTTTCAGTTCAGCAAAGAACAGCGCGATATCAAATTTACCAAAAAGACTTATTGTAGACCTTTGTAGACCTTTCAAGACTTTATCTCAAGACAATTTTACGGTAGCCAAAGCATAAAGGTCTTGCAAGACAATCGGTAGACTTTTAATGACACATAAATGTCTAGGAAAGGTCTAGGATAGGCCTACAAGACTTTTTACGATCTATTTAGACCTTTCGTTTTCCTATGGGTGCCTACAGGAAAGCGAGCCAAAATGGTCAAAGAGAAACAGAAAAAGTCAGCCAATCCAGCAAAAGGTAAATACCCTTCAGTGCAAGTTAATGTGAAATTTATTTTTGATCGTGTATAACCAGAAATCTCGCCTAATCATTGTTTTCAATTTTTTCCGATTAGGGGCTAAGATAAAGTATAAATCCTTAATATATCTTGCCTGGTTTAAACATCTCAGTTTTAATAGCTGTTAACAAATTTTCTGTGGCGCTAAGATCTCCCAAATTTAAGAAAAATATTGTGGAAAATTAGACAAATGGAAATGTTTGCTGAAGATAAGATTTATTCCATGCATCATAGAATTGCAGTTAAGTGGAGTGATCAACAGTTAAGTGGAGTGATCAACAGTTACAGTTAATATCGTGTTTAAATAAAAGCTTATTATTATTATTATCAGAAAAAGTTGTTACAGGCAGTTCAGATTTGGAAAATTTAAGTCTTTGCTGATCAGATCTTCATCAAGACACAAAAGCTTTTTCAAAGACGCAAAACTTTTCAAAATTTCTGTCAGTGTGTGCAACTAAATCTAAGAGGGCAATGTTTAGCCACTCCACTACACCATGCAATCTTCATCGAATACTTGGGGAGCATTCCAGAATCCCAATTTTTGCAATAATCTCATGAAAATTTAGATGAGCATTTTTACCATTGTAGCAGATTTCTCTTACTCTTCTTATGCATAATTTAGAGCCATAGGGGCATCATTAAGACTTTTTCTTTCTGGATATGAATAGCTTATATTGCATAGTCAATAAAGTTTTCTCATTTCTTCAAACAAAAATTGCTTCAAAGCTCATTGTGTGAAACATCATTTTCCAAATATATAGTCTTTTGAAAATTGAAATCTTGCTTATCCCACTCCTGGCAAACAGCCATATTTTTGAGATCAGTGAGGTCCACCCATGAACCATAGTCACACGCCCGCAATCCTTGATGAACTCTAGACTTCGCTAGTGCTTTCCTTTCCCCAGGTGTAAATAGCCGGTCGGAATTAGCACCCTCGCCCCAGGCTCATTTGGGGAATATGCATGTTTTAAATAGTGGGAAATATCATTGAGAATTATAGAGAGAATAATACATGGGTGCTTGGAAATACCAGATTTATTTCGAGTGTTGAAAATGATATCTCATGAGTGAGTGCATGTTTATTATATAAAAAACAGTCTTTGAAAAGCGATAATTTTTACAGAAAAGTGAAAAATTTGAAAAGCAATAATTTTCACATGTGAGATTATCACTTTTATCAGGGCTCGAAATCTCTATAAAGCACTATACTTTATATAATAAAATTATATAAAATATGACAAACAAAATACTATTTCAATTTACAGATGAGACAAAGAAACAAGACAACTGTGGAGATGAAAGCAAAGAAAGACAGCTAAACCATCAAAAGGTACAAGGAAATTAAATAAGAATTTTTTCGTTCAATTTAAAATGAGATTTTTTTCCCAAAGATGAGCTTTTGATGAGCTTGCATATTGTAGATGGAATTTTTATGCAAAGTGTATTTCAGTCAAATAATTATCAAAAGTTTATTTATATTAAATATTTAATTCTTTCGTAGCTATCATCAGTGCATATGGATACAAACAATTCAAGAAAGGCTGTCCTTTTCAAACCTTAAACTTCAAAACCTTCAACCTTAACTTCTAAGCATACAAAGCTTAATGGGAACACAAGTTTCGAGCTTAGTAGTTGAATATTGAAGCTGTTTGAATTATATGCAACAAAAATTGTTAATTTATCCAAGTTACAAAAGTTAGGGTAAGGATTAGTGGTTAGGGTTAGGGTGGAGGTAAGTGTTAGGTGCCGCAAATTTATCATAATGATAAATTCGGACGTGTTTAAGAATTTACTCATATAGAAAATTCAAAGGTGGAGCTCATGCTGATAATTAACATAAAGCCAGAGTAAATATTTGCTTTATTACAAAAGTTTGGATTTGACAGTCATCACTCATTAGTTTTTTCAGACCTATATACCCTGTTTTACCACAAATTTGCATTTGTTCCTCTCAGTGAACAAGTTTAGTTTAAGCTTCTTAGGTGGAATTGCTCTTGTTGACTGTTAAATATATTATCTATCTATCGTATACCCACTTCCATAAACATATCAGAATATCATAAGTCTTAAAAGCAAAGCATTAAGGTTATTCTAGGAAAGTTAGTTTCTCGGTAGTTGTTGCAATATTCACAAGCTTATAACTACTACAAGGAACAATTAATACTCGAATGTGCATTCATTGATATTTCAAAACTCTGTGTACTTACGTCATTCTTGGATAATTATTTTGAAGTCAGATAAGAAATATCAAGAAATAACATTTATTAAAAAATGTTTCTTTTCCAACCGCTATTTTAACTTACTGTAATTATTTGTTTTAGTGTATGTTATAAATGCTGCCGAAAGGAAAAGGATATATGTTAAAAAACACAGCTGCTTTTTTGCAGTAAGGAGTATTTGAAAATGGCTCGGCACCTGGAACAAGTTCACACTGCAGAAGAAGAAGTAAAAATAGCCCTAAGCTATGAAAAAAATGATGATAAGAGAGCAAACCAATTTGAATAATTATGTTGAATGGGGAATTACAACCACAATATGCTAGTGTTGGACATCAACAGAGGCGAGTTGAAGGTTGTGCGAAGACCTTCTGCACATGCAAACGCTGTTGGCGACATGTGAACGCCGTTGGTGTTGGTTGCAAGCAAAGAATGTTGGCGACATGCACCAAATTGCTCATTCAAAGAAGAGAAGACAGCTTCAAAGAGCATGAAGTATGAAGGAAGATCATTGCTAGCAGGTGGTAAGTTTCCCAATGGGTGTAGTAAATTGCTGGCTGAGAAAGTTGTCTTGAAAATGATCTATGACCAGATTAGTATAACTGCACAAAAGGACGAACTGATATTCCACAGGAAGCGTGTTACTAGAACATAGAGGCTCTGAAAAAGCCTTAGAAGTTTCCCAAAAGATGGGAATTCTTGTAAGGGTGGTCTTGGAGGGAAGAAAATTATCCGGCATGAACAATGTCACTCTTCTTGAGCTGCTAAAACCACAATATTTCGATACCCTGGTTAGCAGCTGCAGGAATATTGCGGGGTATGAGGAAAATGATGGCTCAACTTACAACAGCAACTGCAGTGCACAGTGGAATAGTGGATACAAGTTGGAAAAGGCAGCAGATGTCTTGATGGGCCAAGCAATATGAAAGTAAGACAAGGAATTGCTCGAACATGTTCAAGCTTTCCTCCATCTGTACAGGACAGAGTGGCATGGCAAGATAACTGCACCTGGCCTGAACAATTTGAAGCTGAAAAGGCTAAATGACGTCTTGCCTTTGACAAGTGACCTCATGATGGTAAGGACGTATTATGCCTGGTGGAAAAACTCTCCCCGCTTACCGATATTGTTACAAATCATGCGACAAAACAAAATTGGAGAGAACTTGCAGAGGTTTGCCTTACCAGGATGATCGTGTCTGATAAATACCAAAATCTCCAATCACATGACTATACTTAAATTAACTTGTGCATGAAAATTACTTATTTGGCATAATTTCAACTATAAATTATTCCGGGAAGCAATAAAAACTCTTATTGCTGTGGCAACAAGTTCCTTTATTGCTTCCTTGCATATATTAAACCATCATCAGCAAACTGTTTGTCAGGTTGAGCTCGGTTTTCTGTGCTGCCAAATACTACAAGACCAGTCAAAGCCTTTATGGCATAATTATGGCTTATGTGCCCGGTTGTTTGCACATAGCCGCTTTATTGTTTTAATCAATTTTTAATAACTATATAACATTTAGCACAGAAAAGGTGGGGGTATTACTAATGCCACAAGTCTCCTTGGGATAAAGGAGACACACCCCACCCCAGCATGACAAACCGTTTGCAGATGATCGTGAAAAATATCTACATATACTGATACCACATGTTACGAAAACCTCAATCTATGTCAGTTTCACTGTACATGCTATTGTCAGATGAACTTCAATATCCAACCGATGATGAATATGTGTCGCCAGAGGCGATAAAATACCATATTATACCAGTTTTCTAGCGAAATAAATATCATCAGCTGAAATGTAAACCTTACCCCTGTGTTGGTTCAACGTCCAGCGATGACGAATAAGTAAGATAAAGGCCGATTTGATGCATTTTGTAAGATCATCAAGCCATCGTAACAAGGCACAACGTGGCACGACCACAGGCAAAACATGCAAAACTAAACTAAGCAAGCCAAATTAATGAGGATTGGATTACCTTTTTACACAAGTGACTTAAATTCCGCAGTCTGATCCTCAGGTAATAAATAGCGCGGTTATGCGTAAAATGTCTAATTCAATTCTTGTGAATGAGAACTCACGGATTGGCACTCCCAAATATTTGCAAAGAGAGAAGAAATCGGCAAGATGAATGCGGCATTGGTGATAATTACGAAGCGGCCATCCAGAAGTCATTCAGTATGTGAACAAGATGCAAAATATTTAGCTGTGTTTTAGCAACCGTTTCTGAAGCTGTATTAAAGTAATTAAACATGTCGAATGTACGACATCAACACAAGCGTAGTTTATCGCAATGACTACCTAAATTACCAATATAATTTAGATAGATAAAATAAATAATGTATTCTGGCACTTGTTTAGTATAAACAATACCCAAAGGCGAATACGCAGCCAATCCTCTAGACCATTTAATATAGTGCTCACAATTTCAGGGTTTTGTTCAGCAGATAAAAGATTATATAATTTGGATAAAACAATATTCGCAAACCTTCAAATTGGAAAGTAAAGCCAAATGTAAAACCTTCATATATATAAACAGTCAATTTCGCATCATGTCCACCCAGTAAATGCATTAATAAATTAATTGATTTATTTTGCCTGGTGGTGGTAGGTCAAGACTTGATAGTGGTTGGGGCGGCATTACTGGAGAACCGATGGGGATGAAAATTAAAATTTTGCAATTGGATATATAGCCTTACATGGAGGATGTCTAAGTTGCCAAGAGATAGGAAGCCCATTGTCACAAAATGACCAGAAGTAGGCATCTGAGATTGCGTGCGTGTAATTAAATTTTGGCACAGTGCGCGAATAAGAGGAAAGTCGCATATCCAGACTTCCTAATGACTTTTAACCCCCCATGGCATTGCAGCATGTTGTTTGACCGCAAAAAGTGCAATTGTGTATAAAATTTTTAATTTGGCGCCACCGCGTACGACCAAGTCACAAACCACCACACCCTATACTAGAGCGGGAGGTGCGGACGAAAATAGTTGAAGGATAGGAATATATTTCAAGGATAGGCCATAACATTTCACTGTCACTGTACTGGCAACCATGAAGGAAGGACGATTGACGTTTTCTTCAGTGGCCATTTGTATTTGAGATGCTTGGGCTAGTAGCATGGATGTTCTGAAAGGAAAGACTAAAGAACACAGACAAGCAAAATTTAACCCTAGGGGGGGGGCGATTTTTTAAAATTTTAAATGATTTTTCAAATTTACTAGTCAACTAGCCAATCAGAATGCGCGAAATCATGTTGATATGCAAAATTTATACTAAACAACTATATATAACGTGGGGTTCTGTGCTGCGACTCGCAACTTGCAGATTCACAACTCACAAAATAGCCGACCTCAGTGAAAGTACTGCTGGAAAATTGAACAGCTGTTTATTTTAAGAAAATTGCTGAATAAATTATATTTGACTTTTGATGAATGAGACTTTGTTAATTTTTTTTTAAAGGTGAATCATCTTCCCAAATGGCAGATGAGTCAAGGGAGAAATCAAGGCAGATATCAAGTAAGATTGCTTTATGGGAAAATAACTACATCACTTGCATCGGGTAAAATTTTATATAGACGTTATCATTCACTCTGCAAAGCAACCTCAAAACATGCCGTTTTAGAGATTTAAAATTACAAAATTTTGTCAGGGGAACATACCACCTCTGACCAAAGATGTTTTTCTATTCAGAAACGTCACATATTCCACCAAGTGAATTGGACAAGATAACTGCCACTAATTCAACCTCAAGCAAAAATGTATCCGAAACTAATGGTACAAAATTTAGCAGACAGTTAAAAGTGATAGGACACTTGGCACACCAATTTCACCGATGTGACTGCTAACATTAGTTACAATAAACAATTATTGGATGAGGTATTTGTGATATCAGGAATTATCAAGGTAGAGATAAGTGTTACCTGCTGAGCAGATTTACATGAGGCTGATAACACCGAGGCCTTGACAATTAACAATTATTCACCGAAGGCAAGGTGATTATGGGGAATATTCACCAAGACGAAGTCAAGGTGAATGTTCCCCAATAATCACCAAGCCTGATGCAAATAATTGTTTTAATATTTTTACACAAGTCTCATTTTAAAAATTTCAGTTTTGTATAT